ACACTGAAAATGGTGTTTCTTCACTGACTTGGAAAGGAAAAACAGAGGAAGTAATAATCTTTCATTTTTTAAAAAGTGGTTAGTCATTTTCCTTATTAAAACACACAGGGTTCTAACATCAATTCCAAAGAGCACCTGCACCCCTATGTTTATAGCAGCACTGTTTACAATAGCTAAGCTTTGGAAACAACCCAAATGCCCAAAAATAGATGACTGGATCAAGAAGATGTGGTACATATACACCAGGGAATATTACTCAGCATTCAAAAAAGATAAACACATGCAATTTGCAGCAACATGGATGGAGCTGGAAGGGATCATGCTCAGCGAAATAAGCTAGAAAGAAAAAGAAAAATACCAGGTGGTCTCCTCATAGCAGGAATCTAGAAAACTTAAATAAGGGACCAGGAAAATGAATAACTATAAGAAAGAAAATATCAAAATCGACAAACAACTATGAACCAGAGACATTCTATGGCGGGTGGGGGGGGCGGGGAAAGGAGGGCTTGGGGTCAAAATAAGGGGGTTGCAATTGTATGGGGAATATAAAAATAAAATTTAAATTAAAACACACACACACACACAAGGTTCTATAAGCAGTTAGCTCTGTTTAAACCACTTGAATATTTTAGAGAATTTTGTTGATTCCCAAACTTCCAAGGGCAGGAGCTCACTTTCACAAACATCTTATACAACATAGACTTTGCATTAATAGTAATGGTCTTAGGAATATCCAGTACTTTAGCCTGAAAGTAGACCTTTAGGGAAAAGGAAATTTTAAGCTAATCTGGAAACCTTTAGGTTTTCTTCAAAACAAATAGAATTTTTAAATCCCAACTCCTTGTTACACTCTAGTTACTTGGATGTTGTTTTTTCAAGCCTTCATCTGTGTAGCTAAGTTCTTTCTCTCCCCTCTCTCCCAATGGGGCGTCACCAGCACTTTGTCACCAGCATTTCACTGGCATCAAACATAGAGGGTCAATAGGGAAAAGAAATGACTTTGCTAGTCAAGTTTAAATGTTTCCTTTTCACATTTATTTTATCAGTGGCTTCCTTGCAAATGCTCTTCTGGTTGCCCCTATGAAAGTTCTCTTACATAATGCTGTCTTTGACTTCACTGAGATGGGGCTGGGGAAGGGGAGGAGATGGGGAGGCAAGAATTAAAGGACTGTTGAAAAAACATTCCTCTCAACCTTCTGATTAATTTTAGGGAGAACTTTGCAACGTCGAACACATCTGTAAAAATCAGTGAAATGGTTGTTTTGAATGCCTTTGCTCTCTACAGGGGGAATTTAATAAAAAAAATTTATCTCAAACCCTTTTTTAACCCTAGGGGACAATGTTTCAACTTGTATGTGTTGTAAAATGCAGTATTTCAGACTTTCTTGGGGGAATTTTTTTTATAAGTTTGGATTAGCCTAGTTGTTCTTCCAGAGTTCTTAATAAATGTTAAGAGAATAACATGATTATTGTTAATTAGATGTTCAGAATTTATTATAGCTGCTATGTATTTGGGGAGATACTTAAACTTACAGAAGGGTTGTAAAATAGTATCAAGGAATGTCAAGGAATAAATCATTTCAAAATAACATAAAGAAGACTGATCATGGCAAGAAGCAGGTGCTTTGGAGAAGAGCGCCATTTAACCCAAATTAGGAAGTCAGGAAAACACTTCTCTGAGGGGATCTTATTTGATTCTTTGCATTCAGGTGGAGCTCGCAAATCGTAGCTTCAGAGCTTGGCTATCTGGGCACTAAGACAAAATAGTATTAAGTTAAGCTTCAGGCAGTAAGTGCCTGCCAACTGGACAGCTGCAGATCTCTGATTATTCATTACAGAAACTATGGAGAGAGTTCAACTGAACATCCCTGAAGTATTGGCTGAGAAACTGAGAGAATCCATATCACCTTTATGTAAAAAATAAGTTATACAGGTACATGGTAATTTTTTTTGTTTAAGTGCAAACAGTATACCGTGTATATTCTGTGAGAAGTTTTCCTTTCACCTGACCTCATTTGTGCTCCTGCCACTCTTAGGGACGTTACCAGTTTTGGGGGTGTTCTTTGGGAGATAGTCTGTATAGGTGTGTATTTTTTTTTCTTGCTACATATATGGTAACATACTGTATTTGACAACATATCTTTGAGAATCTCCTACAAATACATGAAGATCTGCATTATTTATAATAACTGCATGGTGTTCCATCCTATGAATAAACTATTTAACCAGTACCATGCCCCTATTAATGCTTAGGTTGTTTCTAGCCTTTTGATATTACAAATGATGCTGTGAGAAATATCCTTGCACATACCTGTATGTGGGTTTCTTTAGGATGTATCCTAAGAAGTGAAATAGCTGGGTAAAGGATAGGTAGACTTTTTAAATTTTGTATAGAAAAGGTAACTTTATTAGTATTTTTTTATTGTATAACAGTCTTGCTACTTTTGAAAAGAAATGGGATAATATACCCATATTACATTTAATCATAAGTACCACTTTTTCTGTTGTTGATTGCTTTTTGATTGGAGACTTACTGGATTTAAGAGAAGGTGATACTTGGTGACTGGTGGTGAGCTAGAATAACAAAGCAATATTAATCTTAATTACCACAGTATTACTATGTTGATTTTGGTTGCTTTTATCTCAACTTGATATTTTCTATAATGTAATTAAATGATTGAAAAGACCTGGTGGTACTTTACTGGAGAGCAAAACTGTTTTAATATTAACTGCTCCTGTAAGGGGGTGGTCCCCAGGAAAAGGGGAGGTTCCAGGTTCCCTGCTCCACCCAAGGGAGGGTGGAGCTGTGTGGGAGTGGGGAGAAGAAGCTGGAGAGGAGACTGGAGAAGGAAGGAAGCAGGATGCAGAGCTAGGAGACCTGGAGGAGGCACTAGCAGCAGAGAGACATGTGAAGAAGCTGCTCTTGCTTCTTGTCCTGGACTGGTTAAAATAGATGTGGGTGAGAGACCCGTGGGGACGTTAGCAATGGCAGCTTTTATCTTGATTTTGATTTTGCTCTTTTCCTCCCAGACTTGTCTGTTTCTGACCTTTTCATTGGGTCCCTGCTGGAAGGTGCTTTAGACCTGTGGCAGGCTTCTGAGCCTTGCTTTGGGCCAATCCTGTTTGGGTGGACTTTTACCCACAAGGGGATGGTAACTTTGAGTGCAAGATTTGGAAACTATTCATTGTCTTGTCTGTATTGCACAGTAATTGTATTAAAGTTCCTTGCCATTAAACGTCTTACATGTTTTGTCTTGATGCGGTGGATGGCAGAACCTATTTAGAGCAGGCAGGTTTGGGGGTTCTGGAGTGACCCTCTCCCTGCCTTGTAACAGATTTGGTGACCCAGATGGGGCAGAACCATCTGTGGTTAGCCCTGTGGGGAAATGTGACTTCCCCATGTCACTGGCTACCATAAGCACAAATGTGATTTTGTTTCTCTAATGTGTTTCAGATATGTATAAATTTGCTGTTAAAAAAACAAACAAACTGGTTTGGGCTTTGTGAAAATGCTGTGTGTGTCTGTGTATAGCCACGTGCTCAGAGGTTTGATTTTGTGAAATTGTTCTGTGTAGCAGTTTTACTCCAAAGATGGTAGTTCATGGGACTGTGTGGCCAGATCAAAGATGGCGCCCTTTTCCCTGCCTTGTAACACTTTCATATGTCTTTATAAGTTTTCATGGAGACTTAATTACTGTGCTACAAAATAAGCACAACTGATAAATGTTATCTTGTCTTTCCTCTTCTGAACTTGGAACCAACTGAGATTCCTTCATTGTGTGATGGGAAGTTTTTCAAAAGTCAGCCTTATTGGTGGGGCGCTCACTGGTGAATATGCCAGAGATCTGTGACCAAATGGGTTTGCTAATATCTCTTCTTCTCCATAGTTAAACTTAATCCAACAGGATGCTGGACATCTGGGACATACCCCACTTCTACCCTCATCCCAACCTCCCCAAGGCCGCTTATTACAGGACTGAGAAAGTGCTGGCATTCGGCAGATCTTGTCTAAGCCTTCTCGTGCCTCAGCTCTTCTTCAGAGCCCAGGAGAAGCTAGGCCATGATCAGTAGTTTCATTCCCAGTTGTTGAAAGGTTAGGAATGGGGCCTGAAACATAGCTGAAGTCTCTGTGCAGGAAAATTTGAGACTGGGAAATAGTGGCCCTTCACTACCAGTACACTGGTGAAGTGATTGTCCCTTCTGTCCAAAAACTGAAGGATGAATAAGCTTAAATTGTTAGTTAAACCTGTTAAAAATGAAACATAATTCAGCCCAGTAAATTGAAAAGATTTGACTTTATTACACAATCATGAATGGGGCAACATTCTACCTAGCAACTAGCATGGAGCAGAAGACTGTACAAAATGGCTTTTATAGACAAAGAGCAGGGGTAAGGGGCTGCTGTCATAAGGAAAGAATGAATTGTTTCAGTTCGGATCACCTTCCTTGGGGAACTGCAGCATCTGTGAGGCAGATTGCTCTACTCATCTGGAAAGGGAGATTCCAGACTGGCCAAGAGGGGTTGAGGTACTAAGTGTCAGCACAGGTGACACCATTTTGGACCTGTTGTTACTTTTTTGAACAGATCAAAGAGAGGAATAGTCATTAAAAAATGGTAAAAGCAATAGGGGAGAATCAGTCTGGTTTTATATATTTGGGTTTCTGTGAAGGCAAAAGCAGAGAATGGGTGTTTGCCTAGCAGCCTGTCTGAGTGCTTATTAAAAAGTGTTTGCTTATTTCACAGAAATACCTTTTGCTTCTATTTGGTTGTGAAGTTTTGCAGCAAAAATATGGTTAAGACTTTTTCACTTGTACTAACATCTCTTCTTTATACTCTAAAACTAATTATTTTGAAGTTTATCTAATTCAGTAGTAGAATTATTTTTTCACATAGCAATCCTTTGTGCACAGTAACAAAATGCTGGTTCTGAACTTGCTGTTTTTTTTTTTTTTTTTTTTTTTTTTCTTGCTAATTCCTTTCTTCCATTTCTTCTTTCTAGAATCCTACTCTAAGAACTCAGACACTCGGGTATCCAGCATGGTGTTGGATCCTGAACAGAAGATGCCTGATGGTAATTTACAGTTCTTTGTCATTGTTTACCTTCTTTTTTTTTTTAAAGATTTATTTATTTATGCATACAAGAACTGGGGTACAGGCCAGAGGTGCAGGAGGTGAGAGGATTCACCAGAGACAAAGGGGGAACAGAACAGGCAGACTGACTGAAATACACTGCTGAGGGGAGCAGTGGGGGAGACAGGAGAGGTCTTCTGCACCATGTGGGTAGCTCCCTGGCCGGGGGATGGAACTCCTGCTGCAGAGGCTGTGGCTAGCTTCACAGTCCTGTGCTTAACCCTTGCGCCACCAGGGAGACACATTGTTTACCTTCTGTTTGGAATCAGCATTTAGTCAGTAACAGAACTTACCATATTTTTCCCTTTTGTCTGTTTCAACAAAAATTATCCTCATCTTCTCTTCCCCAGTCAACAGTATCATCCTGGAGACCGGTTCCATTCAGAAATTAACATATGGTCACTTAAATTATAAGTAAAAATGGATTTATAACCTCAGAGACCTGCCTCATATCTTATTTCTAATTCTAAGATGAGCCAAGATTACCTACAAGTTAGATTTCTATGGCAATAATGCTTGCAAAGTTGCATTATTCACAGCTCTAGCATATAAGCCTCCAGAGTACTTTGACTGCTCAAGACACTTCTAATGTTTCACATATGTGTGAAGTACTAAAATAAAGGGCAAGTACCTTATACTGTGCATTGGACTAGAGTTTTTTAAGTGCTTTGACTAATCTTTCCTGATCTCAGCTTCCCCTTTAAAATTTCTATTCCTTTTCTATAAATGTTCTCATCAGTTCAGGGGTCCTTAGGGTGAAGTAGGCAGCTCCATATAGAAAGAAAGTTTTTGATCTTCTAATTGAAGGTTACAAGGATTACTTGCAAACACTGAGATTAGCTTTGTGACTCACAATAAGCCCTTTGATGGCTACATCAAATTGGGTTTTGTATCTTGCTGTTTTAGCCTTTTTTCTCTTAAAAACACTTTATTGTAGAAGACAGAGGCATATTCTTTTTTTTTTCTTTTTTTAAATATTTATTTATTTATTTATTTATGCAGGCACTGGGTACAGTCAGAATCATGGGAGGGTGAGAGAATTCACCAGAGCCATAACAGAGAGCATAACAGGCAGACTGACAAAGTAACTGCTGAGGGGAGCAGCAGGCGGCAGGAGAGGTCTGCACGCCATGTGGGACCCTCGCCCAGTGGCCGGGGATCAAACCGGTGCTGCAGAGGCTGCGGGCAGCTTTGCAACCCAGCGCTCAACGCTGGGCCACCAGGGAGGCCCCTAGCCTTTTTTCTCTTATCTCTTCCCCTTCCCTACATTCAGATTAACTGCAAAATGTAGTACTTAGGGAAATCAGCTTGTCTGAGACAAGCCCTCCTATCATGTGGATGCCAGCCTCCTGTGACCCGGAGCTCATGAGGAGGTGAAGGGTTCCTGCTGTTAGTTTATAGCTTGAGCTGTGGCAGGATTTTGCAAACTTGCACATTTTTTGAGATGCCTGAGGGAGGTAATATCCAGGGAGGATTCATTGACTAAGTCCTAGCACATAATGGGGTAACGGTTGTTTCACTAGGCTGAACTAGTTCTTTTCTCTCAAAAAGTTAGGATTTTAATTACCAAATGGCTAGTCTAGGAATATTATATTTGAGCCATAGATATCATTATTTTTTAGAAGAGAATGAAATATTCTTAAAAATTGCCAAGTGAGAAGTATGAAAGTAGGAAAATCATTGTGAGATTAGTGTTTAAAGAAAAAAGAGAAACAACAGCCAAAAAAATATTGTGCTAAGCCTCACTAATATTTAATAAGTAACCTAATTTACAGTTTTCATTGTCTCCCCAAACTATAATTTAAGATTAAAAATATGAAATTTCCTGGTCAGCACTCTGTGTGTTAAGAAGCCCTACTTTACCCTAAAGGAGGGAGGCCTTGCCTGATACAGTCTTTTGCTAAATAACTTCCCTGTCCTGCCATCTTTTTCAGTATACAACCCTTCCATTTTGTATAGTCCCTGTGGGTACGATAGTCCCTTTGGGTACTATACAAAATGGGATGTTACCTAGTTCATGAATCATTTAATGAAACCAGTTAGTGCTTTACATGGTTGAGTTTTTTAAGATAGGAAGTATTAAATTGATTTAGAGCTGAGTGACTGGGGGAAGAGGGTGACGGGGGAGAAGGAACTTTTTTATGTTTCCAGTTTCTCAACCATGTGAATGTATTACCTATTCAAAATTAATTATTAAATATATAAACATAAATTATTAAAAGTAAGTTGAGTTAGAATCAAGCTGTCTTGTACATTTAGGTATTGGAAAGATTTATTTCAGTATTACTAACGGTGAATTGTTAGTATGTTTTATTCATCTTTATTTCTTCTCAAATCTGTTCATCTAGATGATGCTTCTGGAGACCATGGGGATTCTGCCAGTCTTGGTGCCATCAACCCTGCCTACAGTAACTCCTCTCTTCCTCAGTCCACCAGGCACTCAGAAGAACCCTTCACCACCTATTTTGATGAGAAGATTTCCATTCCTGAGGAGGAGGTTAGTCATAGGTGTTAGAGGAAACCATTCCTATCTAGGGAAAAACCCGTCAGTGAAAAGTCAACTGGACAACTCAACAGCAACAGCTTCAGACCTAATTTTGCATGTATTCTCTGAACACTGAGTTTTTGTAATTAGAAGAGTAAAATGAGGGCCTTGAAAATAGTTGCCAAGTTGGACAGTGATAGCTTTTGATCGAGAAAGTATGAATTTCTTACTCCTTTTTTTGGTGACTTCTGTTCCTTTTAGGTAGTGGTTGGTAGTGGTTCCATTTAGGTAGTATTAGACATGCGAATACTGTGGTTTTCAAATGACAGGCTGGTGGAAAGAGCAGATGAGGGAAAGGCTCTTACTTGAACAGAGAAGTGACCAGATTATTGATAAGTGAATGAGATGCAAGTGAGCGCACAGTATCCATGGGCACACTCAGTATCCAGCCTCCCACGTCCTTTGTCCTTGCAAAGCTGATACTTTACTACTGTGTGATGAAATAACAAATGAGATTAGTAGTTTAGAGGTGATCATCAGTTTAATCTTTTCCTCTCGTCTAGTATTCTTGCTTCAGCTTTCGTAAGCTCTGGGCTTTCACGGGACCAGGCTTTCTTATGAGCATTGCCTACCTGGATCCAGGAAACATCGAATCTGATTTGCAGTCTGGAGCAGTGGCTGGATTTAAGGTGAACATCAAGGTCCTACTTGGGTTTCTTTTAAACAAACCCAGTACTTCTTCATACCCTTTACTCTGCCTACTGGGTATCAATTTCAAGGGGCTATAAGTAAGCATTTTATCGGGAGGGACATTACATGAAAAGTGCTTTCCCCATCTGGTTTTTAATTTTATTTTATCCACGTTGTTTCCTTGCACAAGGAGAAAGTACAGATGGGAGAAACCACTGCTCAGAAAGGTACAAAGCAACCAGGCAGGTCATGTGCAAAACCTGAATCAGAACTCAGGTCGTTTGATTCCTGAATGTAGTGTTTCCCATCACATGACTAAACAACCAGATCAAAAATGCCAGGTGTCTAATGAGTGCTGTGGTGGGATTTTGTTCTCCCTTGCTCTGGGTTCTTCTTCTGGCCACCGTTGTGGGGCTTCTGCTCCAGCGCCTTGCTGCCAGACTGGGAGTGGTCACTGGACTGCATCTGGCTGAAGTGTGTCACCGCCAGTACCCCAGGGTGAGTATTGCACTGTCCTGTGTTTCTGTCACTCACATCACAGGAGTCTGTGTGTCTGGCCATGAGTGCTGACCTCACTGTATAGAAACAGGACTTGGGGTCAGTGTCCAGGAATACTGGGAGTCCCAGTAATAGAATGATATAGCCCCTTTTGCTGCCAAGCCTTGTTTTTTTTTTTCTGCTCCTTCAAAATTTAACTTGAGATTCACTTTTCCTCAGAAAATTCCTTAGAAAAATCTATTTGAAGAAATTTTTAGCAGTGACCAGCCCATGGAGGGGCAGAGATAATGTCTGTAAGCACTTTTAGTCATACATTCATATTACTCAGTCTCCTTGCATTTTATGTTTAATGTTCTGTTTAACTTGACTTTTTGGGGAAAAGCTGTATGTGGCAGTGTCTTGTATTTGCAAGTAATGATTATTCAATTTACCCTGACCTTCAGGGTACCCTGACAGATACACTGTCCTCTATAGCTTCCTTCTGGACATTTGGGGCT